GAGTTCGAAACATACCGGTAAAATAATCAGCAGCAAAAATTAAAAATGAAATGAAATGAAAGGGAGGATGATAAAACAAAAACAGGCCCAGCCGTTAACATCAAGCCAGGAGGCGAAAGTTCAATAAATCACTCCGAAGGCCCGGAAAACCAGCAGAGAAGATCAGAGCAGGAATAAATCAGCCAAGTGTGTCTTATGGGGAGCTGGCGTGGGGCGTGGGGTAGTCGTGGCCTGGTGCCTAAACAGCACTAACCCAGGCAGCGTCAGGCAAGGGTCCCAGGGAAGAGTGTTTCAGAGGCTCTGTAGCACGGTGGCTCTCCGGTTGCGTTTCTTGAAAGCTTCTAAAAGGGAACCCTCGGTGAGCTTGACAACAGGAGTCAATTTTACTTGAAAGGTTTGCTTCCCTCCGGCTGATCGTCCCTGTAGTGTGCAGGCCAAGGCGAGTATCGGTGTGTTCTCAGGCACTCTCCATTCCCACAGGGCAACAGAGGCCTAGCATGTGGGTCCTCACTCAGCAGACTGATCTGTTTATCCTGAGACCTGTCCCAGAATCCTCTCCCCTCTTGTTGTTTAAGCCCAATAGGTCTAGCCCTTCCCTCTGCAGAAACAGAGAACAAGTCTTCAGCTTCTTCCATGGGACAGCCCTTCCGTGAGAGCCAGTTCGGTGTAGCGGCTAAGAGCGGTGGACTCTAATCTGGAGAGCTGGGTTTGATTCCCCACTCCTCCACATGCAGCAGCTGGGCGACCTTGGGTCAGTCACAGATCTCTCAGAGCTGTTCTCTCAAGAGCAGTTCTGGAAAGATCTCTCTCAGCCACACCTACCTCACAGGGTGTCTGTTGTGGGGAGGGGAAGGGAAAGGAGACTGTAAGCCGCTCTGAGACTCCCAAGTGAAGGGCGGTGTATAATTCCAATATCCTCCTCCTCCTCCTAACAATTAAATACCTCATGTCACCATCAACACATCTCAGTATTGCATATAGATTTCAAAAAGACTTCAGCTGTGTTTCCGAAAACCACCTCATAGGCTCTCTGGGCGAATCCTTAGCGGAACAGAAGCCTCCAAGGGAGACCTGGAAATCAGTTTTCATCGGGCACACAATTCTAGTTCAGTTCTAGGGCTGAATGAGGCCCAAAGGCCACCAAGGGTTCGTTGGCCAGTCCAGTAGGCCACGATCATCGAGTATGCCCTGGGGTTACTTCAGTCAAACCGAATCCTGACGAATGATCACACTGGGCAAACCGAAACGCTGGGCTAGATTCAAGTCCAGTAGCATCTTACGTAAGAACATAAGACAAGCCAATGTTGGATCAGACCAATGACCCATCCAATCCAACGCTCTGTGTCACACAGTGGCCAAAAATACCAGGTGCCATCAGGAGGTCCAGCAGTGGGGCCAGGACACTAGAAGCCCTCCCACTGTTGCCCCCCCCCCCCAAGCACCAAGAATACAGAGCATTAAGGCCAGGGGCAATACGAGTAGCCTGTTCCTTCTATCGTCAGATTCTGGCTGGTTTGTTCCCTTGAATGCTGAGTTCCAAACTGAAAGGTTGCCCCAATGGCACACGAACCAATGGGTTCTAGATCAAATCAAGCCTGAACGCTCTCTTGAATGGGAACATAAGAACATAAGAGAAGCCCATGTTGGATCAGGCCAATGGCCCATCCAGTCCAACACTCGGGGTCACACAGTGCCCAAAAATGCCAGGTGCCATCAGGAGGTCCAGCCGTGGGGCCAGGACACTAGAAGCCCTCCCACTGTTGCCCCCCCCAAGCACCAAGAATACAAGGCATCACTTGCCCCAGACCAAGAGTTCCTGTCTATACTTTGTGGCTAATAGCCACTGATGGACTCCTGCTCCATATGCTTATCCAGTTCCCTTTTGAAGCCGTCCATGCTTGTAGCTGCCACCACCTCCTGTGGCAGTGAATTCCATGTGTTGATCACTCTTTTGGGGGAAGAAGTACTTCCTTTTATCCGTTCTAACCCAACTGCTCAGCAATTTCATGGAGTGCCCACGAGTTCTTGTATTGTGAGAAAGGGAGAAAAGGACTTCTTTCTCAACCTTCTCTATCCCATGCATAATCTTATAAACCTCAATCATGTCACCCCCTCAGCCGTTGTTCCTCCAAGCTATAGAGCCCCAAACGCCTTAACCTTTCCTCATAGGGTATTAGCTTTCGAGAGTCAAATTTGAGGAGGGGATATTAGCAATTTGGGGAGGGGGCATGAGCTTTCGATAGTCAAAGCTCCCTGCTTCAGATACAAGGGATGAAGGGAGCTTTCGACTCCTGAAAGCCCATACCCCCAAAATGTTGTCGGTCTCTAAGGTGCTACGGGACCTGAATCTAGCTCTTCTGTCGCAGACTAACACCCTCTGGCATCAGCAAAATGTTAGGATTTTTTGGGGGCACTGGGAGGCTTTTAGTAGAGGATTCTGGTGATTGGCAAATCAGACAGCAAGATTTTTGTGAGCTTTTGGACCTTTAGTTGGGTCAAGGTTTCTTTATGAAATGTGCTGCTGAAGACTCCCCTTGCAGCAGTGACCAATACTGTTTAAACACAGATGGCTCCTTCTTCTGCAAAGCTTGTGATGTTAGCTGTTTAGAGTGCACGGGAGAAGGTCCTGGCAAATGTAAAAGCTGCATAGCTGGCTATGAAACGGAAGATGAAAAAGGCACAGATGTGAATGAAGGTGCCCTGCCTGAAAAAGTGTGTGTGAGAGAAAAGGAAGACTGTGTTAAGACTCCCGGTGGCTTCAAATGTGTCTGCACAGAGGGCTTTGAAGACAAGGATGGTGCCTTGTGCTCCAGTTATAAAAACAGGTTAATCTGACTTTCAATAATTTGGGAGCTGCCATTCCTTTGTTGGAGTCTGAATCTTCTAGAGAACTGCCTGAAGAACTTTCACTGCTTCCCGATCTGTGTTCAGTGTTTTCTTCTGTTACGCTGTTGTCCTCTGCTCTTCCATCCTTCGCTGTTTTTTGGTGCTGTTCCAAAAATGCCTTTGCT